CTCCCCCTGCCCCAGGCCTCCCCTGCTCCTCGGCTCTCGCCCCACCGGGCACCCCCGCCGCATGCGGCAACAAACATAAACAGAGGCTGCGGAGATAAGATCCATCGAGACCCGCGGCTTTAAACCACGCCTTGCTCGGTGCATCCTGCTCGTAACGCCTTCAGGTTATTGCCAAAGCGGGGAACAAATGTTAAAAGGCAATTGCTGATTATTTACTGTTAGCGCGCCCCAGCTTTGGCAGGGTGAGCCAGTTTCACTTTCAGTTCTCGGCGCTGCAGCCCTTCAAACGGGAGAGGGTCCTTCTTTGAAGCAAAGGAGTGAGCTTGGGTTACACTGAGAGTCAGAAAGGAGTCCTGATTCATCAAATTTGGTTTGCTTTTAAAGGAGCTTTCTTCTCTTTTTAAGGAAAATAACGCTTGTAGGTGAGGTGGATTCTGAGTGTGGTGTTACACTATGGTAAAATAAGGCTTTTATTTTAATTTTGTTTAGTATCATCACACACTTTTACTCGAAGACAGTTTTGCAGTTTGTATTTAAATCCTCTGACGATGTGAATTTGCCTAGATGGTAATTGTAGACTAGAACTTAGACTAGATTGTAGCTCTGCAAACTGCTTGTCAGAGACCCGTGCTCTTTTCAGTGCTTTCAGTGGGACTCTGCTGAGGGGAAGCATTCTGCAGGCTGAAGTTTAGTCAATTCCCATAGCAGAAGCAGTGTTATGCATCTGTCGGTTTGCTGTGGTTATCAAACATAAGGCAAAGATGCTCCTTCAGTCTGCAGTCACAGTCCCCTGGAGAGGGATATGTGAATGGTGAGCCAGGGTACATGAATTGGAAGCCATCACATCTGCCATGGTTACAGTTTCAGAACTTTGTCATTAGGAGAGTATGTGCCGAAAAACCCACAAGTCCCATCTGTTCCAGTTTGAAGTTACTGTATAAAATCTGTTAGGATGCTAATAAATATTACATTTGCAGACTAGGAGACTATGCAAGGCTTTGTTGTTTGAAATTTTTGCCCAGACCTGAATAAAGGCCTGAGTGCCAAGGCTTCTGAGTTATCACCCAGTCATTGACCAGATGGAGTAACCAAAGCTTTTTTAACTGGATGCAGAATATCACCTATACATAGCTTTGTGTTATGCAGGTGCACAGCCTGAAAACCAGCCAAAAAGAAACCGGTGCTCCTAAGTGCCATTTGTACAGACAGGCTCTGTCTTCTTTGGCAAAAAGCTACAAAATGTGGGATTAGGTCTCTAAGGTCCTCAGTCATGGTTCTCAGTAGAATGTGTGTGGAGAGAGATGAGTACTGCTGGAGAGCAGTTCCTCCTGCCTGTCTGAGATAGCACCTGAGATCAGCGTGAGAGACATGCTGGTTGTTTTTCATACATTATGTGTAAAATTGTCCAATGGTATATTAATGCATAATTTCCTAATGTTTCTTTGTTCCTGTGTCAGTGTTAGTGGGACTAACAGGCTTAGAGGACTTGAAAACAAAGGATTTTCACAATGTTTTGCATCTACAGGATTGTGGCTCTGCACTGGTGTCAGTTCAGATTTGAAGCAACACAATCCCATTACTTTTAAAATAATAATTTGGCTTTGTGAAATAAAGCAAGATGGAGGAGAGATTTAAGGCTGCTACCAAAAAAAGTGTGGAAATGTAGTTTAAATGCAGTTTACAGAAGACAAAACTCATCAGCCATGATGGAATATCAAGAAGTTGGTTTGTTTTAACTGATGGCAATACAACTTGTGAGATGGTGACTTACGTGTCTGATAACTTGGCTACAATCAATTCTCTGGTATCTTTCTGTAATTCTCTGTTTCTCTGATAGCAGACTTTTTTCTCCAAGCTATGAGACCTCCTTGTCTTCTGCTTTTAGAGATAATTTCTCTTTGCAGGTCTGCCTGCAAAGTTGCTGTAAAGGATCTCTAGCTTTAGTGTCAGAGTGGGTTTGGGGAACATACCCAGGTATGTCCAGATGCAGGCTGGCCCTTCCTTGTGAGAGACCTAGACAAGTGTTTGCATGTAGCTTACAAGGAGTATCTGTTGGAGGAGAATAGGGTCTGCAAACAAGCCATCTCAGAAGGGTACAGAAATAAAACTTACTATGTTCTGTGCTTTCAGACCAAAGGCTAAGTCTTGAAAAAATTATTCCTGCAACTGTTCACACTGTCCTGAGTGCTTTATATTTATGCTGCCACAGAAAGAACTGGTTACACTCGGAGGAGAAGCACAAGAAACACTAAGGACTGAAATGCCTTGCAGCTAAAGTATCCTCATCATGAATAGGTACACAACTATCAGACAGCTTGGTGATGGGACTTACGGCTCTGTCCTCCTAGGGAGAAGCATTGAATCTGGAGAGCTAATAGCCATTAAAAAGTAAGTATTTTCATTTGTTACTTAACAGTGGATGGTCCTGGGTTTTCCATTCTGGGGTCAGCATCACTTGGTTATTCTGATTTGAGTACTTCACATTCCACACAACATTTTTTTGAAGTTGTATTGGGGCAGCATAAGAAGCTCAGGTTCCTTATATCCTCCAAAGCCCCAGCAGAAGATAAAGAAGATGAGATACATAGGCTTATTGTAGTAGTGATTTGTTACTATGTGCAGTTAGACGTGTATGGTGTATATTATTTAGAGTATTCTGTGATGCTGCTGTGGAATCTTCAGCCCTTTCCCTGCTGTTTACATGGAACATACGTTTCATGGTCTGATCTCCAGTGTGGTTAACACTGCAGTAATAATTAACACAGGGGATCTCATTGTCTATTATCTGTATCTTTGTATGGTATTATGTATTGGTCTATTCAGCTTAAGATTTTCTTAAAATTCCTTGAGAAATCCACTTGATGTTCATTGCCTCTTTGGCAGTGACCTCAGTTTGTAAATAGCTTAGTTGTCCTAGCTGTGGTAAGAGCACAATGCTGTAAGGGGTTGCAGGCACCTTCCTGAAATACCGACCGTGACCCAGGTACGTACTCATCAAAAGAGCTTTCAGTACAATGCTGTTTTGTATGAACAGTCAATAGCTGGCTTTAGCAACATACATCCTCTGTGCCGAGGGTATTTTTCCTGTATCAAACCTTGCCAGAAGCACATTGGATTTTCATTTTGCAATATGATAGAAACTGTGAAGTTTCAGAACAAACCAGAAGATAGGACCTGGTTAGCCTACATGTTAATGCCAGTCCATTGTTAGGAGCAGAAGTGGCCTGGTGGCTGAACGCACAAGACAGCAACCACAAAAACACTGTTTAAATAAAAAAAGAAATCCAGACCCCCTCACAACATGAAGGGCTTGTAGTTCTTAAAACTATTCTAATTGTAAGAGCGGATTTCAAACTGGAAACTTAACTACAATAGTAAGTAATACTGAAATATTATTGAGGTCTGACAAAAACTGAGAACTTCGAAGGGTGCCTAACTCCCTTTGAATCCAGACTCTTAAGCAACTGAGTATTTTTGTAAGTTTAGTATGGGCTCTTTGGATGTGTGTACCTGTGAGCCTTCATCCTCTTGGTCCTAAAGCATAGAGTTACGTGTGAAGGAGCTGAGTTGTAATCAAATTCATATGAACAAATAGGACCATATGTTACATGCAGATATTATGTTCAGAGTTATATTCAGGCTTAGTAGAAAACAGATATGCCACACAGTTTGTTTCTGATAGAGCAGAACTGATTACAAGCTGGAAAGGAAAGGCAGAATTTGAAAAGCAGTCGGCATGATAGGTGCAACTCACACAGGAGTGAAAAGCATGAGGAGCAGTGGACACTGAAAAATGAAGAAATACAACTTAGAGGGGAAAGGCATTGAAATTACAGAGAAATCAAAATATAGAGAAGAGGAGCAAGAAGAATATAGTAAAAGTTGAGACCCAATGAAGTGATTTAATTTGGTCTTTGTTAGATTTGCTTCAAAACTTAGTCTCAGTTGTTAACAGCTGTCATAACATCTTGTCCTTTTTACAATTAGACTCTATTTCACCACTTTGGGTGCTGGAAGGAAAAATAGCATGCTCTGACTTATTGAAGGCTCTGAATTTTTTTTTTGCAGCAAGATAAATATATGAAAAAGGCAATCCTGCGTAATGGTAATGCTTTGAAATTCTGTTAAGAGTACACTTTTCTAGAAGCAAAGCGTTTTTTGACAAAGGACACATATTTTGATGGAAGAACTAAATTGTTAAGACCTAATGAGACTCACAGGTCTAAGACTAGTTGATGTTGACCGTGTATTAATTGGGTTTTTTTGCTCTACTGTTGCAGAATGAAGAGAAAGTTTTATTCCTGGGAGGAATGTATGAACCTTCGAGAGGTTAAGGTACTTGTCTCATTGACTTAAAATTAGACGATCCCTGTGACATTTTGGGGTAACATAAAATTCTTTCCACTCGTTTTATCAAAAACTGTCCCCAACATAACTGGGGAAGGAGGAGGAAGAGGGATGTTCAGAGTTGGTGGCATTTGTTTTCCCAAATAGCCATTACATGTGATAGAGCTCTGCTTTCCTGGAAATGGCTGAACACCTGCCTGCTGATGGGAAGCGCTGAACAAATTCCTTATTTTGCTTTCCTTGTGTGCACATCTTTTGCTTTACCTATTAAACTGTCTTTGTCTCAACCCACAAATTTTCTCATTTTCTGCCTTGTGATTCTCTCCCCCATTCCACTTTGGGGGATGAATGAGCTTAACTGCCCACCAGAGTTAATCCACAATATCAAGGAAGAAATTTCCAGGGTTATATTTAGTCCTGAGTCTAACCTGACTATGGCCAGTGCAAGTAAATGAAAAGTGTCAGGAAGTTACTTATAGAGAAAATGCAATTATTCTGGTGCCTGCTGTGATGTCAGATAGCTGGCTTTCAAATGGATCAATGCATTAAATTGATATGTATGCAGTATATGTATCTGGCAATCCTTAGAGATCTGGTCTTTGTTCCGAGCTGTCTGATTATTTAAAATATTGAAGAAATTTTGAAGTCAAGTCTTCAGCATCAGTGGAATAGTTTGAGGTTTTTTTCTTTTTTATTAGAGTAAGACCCTTGTAAAATCCTGATTGTATTTTCTGTTTCTAGTCTTTGAAGAAATTAAACCATGCCAATGTAGTAAAGCTGAAAGAAGTTATCAGGGAAAATGATCATCTGTATTTTGTGTTTGAATATATGAAGGAAAATCTATATCAGTTAATGAAAGAAAGGTATGTAACAGCATTACCCAATCCTGATACACATTTATTACATTGCATGATGTGCTTTTAACATCCGTGTTACTTTTCAAAGGACTTTGGGTTGTTTGTTTAGGCTTAGATCACTATGGCTTTAAACTGTTTTGCAGTAGGAGCTGTGGTTGTCACCTTTGAGCATATCCCAAACAGTGTAGTGAGAGTTGTGGCTCTTCCCAGATGAGCTTGGCAGACAAGCAGGACACTCTTCTGAGAGTTAGGAACCATGGACTTTTAACAGCCCTCATACTGAGGGGGCATTGAACCTAGGACTTCTGATTTCTAGGTATGAACTCCAACTAGCAGTGTTTTTTCTGTTAGTGTGGTATCACCACCTCTTCTGCTATGGGCTCCTCAAATAAATTAATGAAGTGTTTAAAACTGTAATCATGAGGAATCAAATTTCAAAATATTCTCTGTGGTCTGTCTAGGTCTTGAACTGGTTAGATATTGTATAAATCAAACTTTTAAGTGTGGGATTTATTTGTTAAAATAAAATATTTGTCTTAGTTAAAATTGCCATTTTTGCTGGAAGGGACTGTAGAGGAAGTATGTAATTAAATAAATTAAAAATAAAAATAAAACCAAACAAGTATCAAAAGCTGACTCTAGTAGCCAATCTCGTTCTGAAATATGTAATGCTCAGGTATTTTTGAGAGAGATCAAGCTCAGGAAATCAAATAAATTCCAGGCCATCTTCTTCATTTGCTGTTAGGTTCTTTTGGAATAACATTTTCACTGATTTCTACCCCAACCCATCTCTGCTGTGCTTTGGTGTGCACAGAGGCAGCTGACACAGAACTGTTTGATCAGAATCCTCCCTTGATAAGAGGATCTATCATTAAAATGCCTGCCATGACTGATCTTCTCACCTGAGTATTATGAGAGCCTCTTGTTTTCAGTGGTAGCAGATTGTTTTTTCAGATAACAAAAGAGAATGAAGTAGCACATCAGCAGTTAGGTAATAACTAGGGAAAGTCAAAAGGATGGTTTGTATATGCTCTAGAAGGAAGGCTGGAAGAAACTATATATGAAAACCCCTAAATTAACATGAACCCTTGCTGTCCTGAGGAGTATGCCTCATGACCTGCTAAGATTTGTTCAGTTTGACCCATTTATTTTTTTTCTTTTCCTTTTTTTTTTTTTTTTAAATTTACTGTCCCACATAGTTGTAACATCATGTCACATAGTCTTAATATTATGTAATATGACAGTTCTGCAAATACTGTGTACATTTTATTGAAGAAATAAACCACATGAGAGTGTTTTAAATACATATATTTAAAACTATATAAATATACAGATATATTTAATGTCATTGTCATCTTTTGTTCATAAGACAGTATAAGCTAATGTTTGAACTAAATCATTAATATTTATTTCTTCCTTTTTTTTTTTTTTTAATCCCACAGAAACAAACTGTTTCCTGAGTCTACAGTTAGGAATATTATGTATCAGATCCTGCAAGGGCTTGCATTTATCCATAAGCATGGTAGGTTGTGTTTTTGTTGTAAACATTTTGAATGAGAGTGAGATAGTGTCTGTGTAATTTTTTTAATGAGTACACTAGCAATGATTTTAGTAAAGGGAGTGATTAAAAGAATGGCACTGTATCAGTGATTCAGATTACTTAAAATATCCACATTGCATAGTTGCCTGGTATTTTAATGTGGAGGTTTGCTCAGTTCCTTTTCTGTAGATTTCTACTTTCTCAAACTGGCAGCTGGCCACTTTCTAAAACTCGTCTGATCTTAATGGGCACATTTCTTGATAGATGTAAAAGTCCCCTGAGATTGAGAGTAAAGGAAGAATTACTCTTTCCTCAAGGTACACACAGACACCTGATCCTTGTACTTTCTCTGTAAGATACACTTAAATTAATAAAGTCTGAGTGACAAAAAGCTTTAATGGCATGGCCTTCCAACTAATTTTTACAATAATGATAAAAACTAAAGCTGGTGTACCAGCCAGTAGTAACAAGACCCACTTAACTATTAAAAAAAAAAAGGACTTATTTTAAAGATAATTTTCTCACCATGTTTTGCTGCCCTCTGCAATTCTACCTGCTAAATACTCTGTCGTATGTGTTGTTGGTCAGCTCTCGAGGTTATCAGAAGAGAGCTAACAGCAGTGGCCAGATTCCTGGAAGTGAAAGGCTTGTAGGACCAGCAGTTGAAGAGCGTATTTAACTTGGTTTTGTGGAACATTTTAAAGCTAATGGCGTTGTTCTCTGATCTAATGGGGCTTGGATACTCTTCCAGAAACAAACTAGCAATTCCATTATGTCTCAGTGACATATAAAATACTTAAAACCAAAAAAAAACAACCCTACCCCACTTTATGTGCAAAAAATCTAAGCCACCTTGTTTTTTAATAAATTGTCAAATGGAGCACAATCTTCTAGAATATTTTTTACTGCTGATTAACTTAGTATAGCATGTTGGCAGGTCTCTGAAAAGGAGGTCATAGAGCTAAAGTAAGGTACTACAGAGGGACCTGTGTTTAGGAGACAGTGGTGTCAAATGCCTGCAAGAAAGAAGCAAAAGGACGAGTTTTTCAGACTAAGGGAGGAGGCAAATGTCAGCGACAATATTCCGTAATATTCTAGTCCTCTTCTTTCATGTGTATTGAAAGAGCTCTTGCCAAATGCTCATTTGTGATCAAGTTTTGCTGAATGCAGAGAGCACTGAAAAAATACACTCAGATCCTCTATCAGAGGGGGAGATGAGTAACTGAGTGCTTGCAGATTATGTTCTCAGACTTAAAGAGGACCTTCAACGTGCAAAAAAACCCTCACATTTAATTTGTTTTCGGTTTAAAAGAACTTTTGAAGTAATTTTTGATGTCTTCATTGTAGTTCCCAAAACAGTTGGAATGAAACCAAAATTAAAATGGTGCACACTTGAAGCGTCACTTAAAAGGGAGCTTACTGCTCTGAACTGTTGTAAGGTAGTCAACTTGTGTGTAATGTTATACACAGTCTGACTGAACAAGCATTATACTGACTCTGGTGACCACGTAGGATTTTGAACTGGCTCCCATTTATGACGTCACCCATTTTGATATCTTCCATTATGACATCTTCCATAATGATGTCACCTGTTATGATGTCACTCATTATGACATCACCCATTTTGATGTCTTCCATTATGATGTCACCCATTTTTATATCTTCCATTATGACGTCACCCATGTTGATGTCTTCCATTATGACGTTACCCATTATGATGTCACACATTATGACGTCACCCATTATGATGTCACTCATTATGACGTCACCCCTTTTTATGTCTTCCATTATGATGTCACCCATTTTTTATATCTTCCATGTTGATGTCACCTGTGTTGACGTCACCCATTATGATGTCATAGAATGTGTTACACATTCAAGCTTCAGCAGTAAGAACTAAAGCGTAACAATCCAGGTGGAAAACAAAGACTACAGCTGGGAGTGGCATCGGAATACACATCAATATTTCATTTGTATTTTAGGGTTCTTTCACAGAGACTTAAAACCTGAAAACCTCCTTTGCATGGGACCAGAACTGGTGAAAATAGCAGACTTTGGCTTAGCCCGAGAAATCCGATCCAGGCCTCCTTACACTGATTATGTATCTACAAGGTGGTAAGTGCCAGTATTCACCTACCATCAGGCCTTTAAAGAAGTGAAGTATTATATTTGTGCTGAATGCAATACCACTTCTGATGCCTCCTCTTTATGAAGCTTGGCATAATTCAAAAAGCTTCAGTTCATGCAAGACAGTTCACAGGTGGCAGAAGCATATGAATGAAGGGAGGAGAAAGGCCAAGATGACATCATGGTGGGGGTTTGCTACAGGTTGCCTGAGCAGGAGGATAATATAGATGAAGCACCTTATAGATAGGTAGGAGCAGCTTCACATTCACAAACCATGGTCCTCATGGGAGACTTGAACGACCCTGACATCTGTTGGAAAAGAACAACTCTGCTAAATACAGGCTGGGGGGAGAATGGCTAGAGAACAGTCCTGAGGAGAAGGACTTGGAGGTAGTAGTTGGTGAGAAGCTCGACATGAGCCGCCAGTGTGCACTGGAGCCCAGAGAGGAACTGCATCCTGGGCTACATCCAAAGATGTGTGGCCAGCAGGGCCAGGGAGGTGATTCTGCCCCTCTACTCTGCTTTGGTGAGACCCCACCTGGAATACTGTGTACAGTACAGGTGCCCTCAGCACAAGAAAGATATGGAGCTGTTGGAGAGGGTCCACCAAGATGATCAGAGGGCTGGAGCACCTCTGCTATGAAGACAGGCTGAGAGAGTTGGGGCTGTTCAGCTTAGAGAAGAGAAGGCTCCGGGGAGACCTTATAGCTGCCTTCCAGTACCTGAAGGGGCCAAGAGGAAAGCTGGGGAGGGGTTTTGTGCAACCTGGTCTAGTGGTAGGGTTCCCTGCTCAGGGAAGGGGATGTGGGACTTGATGATCTTTGAGGTCTCTTCCAACCTTAATGATTCTATGATCCTAAGAGGAAGCCTGATATGGCAGGTGGGACATGCTGGGATTGCAGCATGTCAGGAAGGCATAAGACAGATTACAAGAAGCCGTGTATGGTTTAATTCTTCATTGTAGAAAAAAATGCAAGTCCTATGTAGGATAGGAGCTTTTTTAGGGATGTTTGTTCTTAAAAGCAAAGAATGAAGAGTTGAATAATTTAATGTATGAGTCACTGTCCCTGGATATGTTTAAAAGTTGTCTAGATGTGGCACTTGGGAACATGGCTTAGTACTGGACTTGGTAGAGTAGGGTTAATGGTTGGACTCTATGATCTTGAAGGTCTTTTCCAATCTAAGTGATGCTGTGGTTCTGTATAAGTCTGTTTGAATTGAGTTGAGATTTTTAAATTATTTTTTCTCTCTTACAGGTACAGGGCCCCTGAAGTCCTTCTGAGATCCACCAGCTATAGTTCTCCCATAGATATTTGGGCTGTTGGTTGTATAATGGCAGAAGTTTACACACTGAGGCCTCTCTTCCCAGGCGCCAGTGAAATAGATACTATATTCAAAATTTGCCAAGTTTTGGGAACGCCAAAGAAGGTAGTTAAAGTGACTTTCCACACTGCAGTAACACTGGAGCTGTTCTACAATACAGAATAGCACAATAGCAGTAAGCATAAAAATAATCAGTTTTCATGCTCTACTGCTATTGTATGGTGTTGATCTCACATATAGTAAATTAAATTAAAATTTGTTTTCTGTGAAATAAGCATTGTGTAATTATGCTGTAAAACCTGGCATTTAGAGAAGGACTAGACCTCTGAACAGCAAACAAAGTAATTGGACTGATTTCATTAGATGGCAGTTTAATTTTCTTTTGCGTATTGCTTATAAACCTGTGGTTTAAGAGGCTAGCAAGAATACTAATTCCTGTTTCAGTTTGTTCCTTTTACTTGGTTGGATGTAAAGCAAGAATTCCCTGTCACCAGATGTTTGAGGTGAAATTTGCTAGTGAAATCTTTAATATAGTTTCAAGTAAGTTGGACAAAATCTGATAGAATATATGCTAGCGTACTTAGGCACTATGATATTTTACAGCTGAACTGTCTTTGTAATTGGAAATCTCATTCTTCCAGAACGACTGGCCTGAAGGCTACCAACTTTCAGCCTCCATGAATTTTCGCTGGCCTCAGTGTGTACCTAACAACCTAAAAACCCTCATACCTAATGCTAGCAGTGAAGCGGTGCAGCTCATGAGAGACATGCTGCAGTGGGACCCCAAAAAGCGGCCAACAGCTAGTCAGGTTTGGTTTTGTCTTCTCTTTCTCCCATCTACATGTGACACTTCCTCTCACTTTCAGACACCTTTTATAGTCAGTCGATTAACAGTTACTCAGAGGTGCAGTGTTTGAAAAGGAGAAGAGTAGAAGCAAAGAACAATTTGCAAGACAAAGAGGAGTAGTTAAAAGATAGTAGTCTTATCTTTTCCATGCAGTGTCAGCTGTATGGGGTATGTGCTCAATGATCAGGTGCGTGACCACAGGCTAAATACACTTGAATTAAGTATTATCTAGTCACTGTGAACAGCAGCAGAGTGAAGGTAGGATGTATGGCTGGAGGTTGTGATGCTGTTCTTTCACTGCCATTGAAATGTGCCACAGAATCACTGAATGGTTGAAGTTGGAAAGGGCTTTTGGAGGTCATCTGGTCTAACCCCCTGCGCTAGGCAGCACCTAGTGCTCAGTCACCCTTAGAATGAAGAAGTTTCATGATGTTCAGTGGAAACCTGTGTTTCAGTTTGTGCCCATTGTCTTTGTCCTGTCACTGGGCACTGCAGAAAAGAGCCTGGCTCCATCTTCTTTGCACTTTCCTTTCTGCTATTTGCATATTTGTAAGATCCCCCTGAACCTTCTCTTCTCCAGCCTGAACAATCCCAGTTCACTTAATCTTTCCTCATGTGTGACATGCTCCGGTCCCTTAACTGTCTTTGTGGCCCTTGCCTGGACTGTTTCTATTGCTGGGCAGCACAAAACTGCACACAGCACTGCAGTTGTGGCCTCACTAATGCAGAGCAGAGTAGAAGGATCACCACCTCCCATCCTGCTCATGCCTTTACAATCGGAACCATTCATGCAATAGCAGAGCGGTTTATGTTCAGCCTGGTGTCTACCAGGTGTCCTTTTCTGCGAAGCTGCTTTCCAGGTTCTTGACCCAAGCATATACTAGTGCATGGGCTTGTTCCTCCCCAATGGCAGGGACTTGGTTGTTGAACTTGATGAAGTTCCCATAATCCTGTTTCTCCAGCCTTTCAAGGTCCCTCTGAATGGCAGCACAACCCTCTGGTGTATCAGACACTCCTTCCAGTTTTGTGTCATCAGCAAACTTGCTGAGGGTGCGCTCTGCACCGCCATCGACACCATTAATGGAGATGTTTAATGGTATTTGCTCCAATATTGCCCTTTGGGGTACACCAATACCTACTGGCTTCCAACCAGACTCTGTTCCACTGATCACCACCCTCTGGGCCTGGCTGTTAAGCAGACGGTGGGACTGAGAGCTGGTTTATCCAACCCAGTCTTGTTTGGGTCAAGCTACCTTATGCAAGGCAGTTTGCTGGGCAGTCAGTTTTGCTCAATTGCCCTGTCTCAACATCCTGTATATAAGCATAACCCAAGTTGTCAGTATTGCACAAATAATGGTCTAGTTGATGCTGTTGATGCTAGCCACTGATTGCAGGTATCAGTACTGTAGTGGTAGTAACCAACTCATGAAATGAGCAGAACACCTTTTGAAAAACAGATGTGATTTTTTGTTCACATCTGACTTCAATAGGAGCATAGCTGAACTTTTGTGTTTGCAACAAACATTCAGTAAAAATTGTAATAAAAAGATTTAAGGCTAATTGAAGCAGCTAAAAGTAAAATATATTAAGAACTCTCAAAGGTAATGGAAAGCAAAAAATATTCACTAAAACTTGGTATTAGTAGCTATTAAGAAATGTTTTACACTAAGGTCTAAATATGGTGAGGAATATGAGATTTGGAAGCTTTTTGAAGTGAAATGTCTGGGAAAATTAGTATAACTGAAACAGCAACATTAACTGCCTAACTAAAAACTCCATAATAACTTGTAAGACAGGGTGAAGATATTTTTTACCATCAAGTCTTCCAAAAAAGAGGCTAATTTTAATAAGGGTGATATTTCTTTGACTTGATCCAGTCTTGACACTGGAGAATGAAAGAGATGGAGTCTCTGGGCTCATTCAAGTCTCGATGGCTGAATCTGTGATGTCAGGTGGACGTGTGTTTGCAGATGCACTTACACAAACACACAGAGACAGCACATAATGGAACATGCCTCTAGATGCCATGTACCTGGTTAAGTATCTTATCTCTGCAGAACCTTTTGCTTTTGTGGAAGTTCACAGAGGATTTGATAACTTTGTATCCTTTGAAACTTTTCTACTATTGCAGCATTATTCTGAAGTGGATTATACTCAACAGAATGTAGTGTTGAGAGATGAGTCTTCTGCTGTTGCCCACCCCAGAAAAAAGGAAATAAAATTTGTATCATCTCATAGACTTAGGGTAAGTTAAAAACTTTGGTTACTTAAGTTGGATCCTAATATCTTGATTATGTTTTAGGCACTTCGCTATCCGTACTTCCAGGTTGGGCATGCCCTGGGAGTTCAGGAACTGGGGAAACAAAAGGAGTTGCATAATAAATCATCTTTGCATATTAAGCCTGTCCCTCCAGCACAACCCCCTCCAAAATCTCATGCCCGCATTTCATCAAGGCCTGTTCAGCAAAGCCAGCCTTCTCAGCACTTGGTGTACCCATATAAGACAGACACCTCTGGAATGGAGCACAATAACTACACACAGGAGGACAAGTCTAGCAAGATTCCTCTGCCTGCAATTCACAATAAGGTTCCTCAGCAGGTAAAGGTCCATCTAGTATAAGATACACTTTCTGATATACAGCCTGATTTTTCCTTAATTGTGTTTCTTTTTCTTGTTCTCTTTCAAGGTTCTTATACTGCACTAAAAGAACAGGAAATAGGAATAAAAAATAGTTATAGCTTTATGCAAGAAACTGGAAGTTACTCTGTTGAAATTTAAATCAAATTGCTATAAAAAAAGCAAGTTGACTTCTCATTTCAAAGCCATTTTGTGCTTCACTTTGTTACAAAACACCACTTAGGATGACACTGTAATGTCTTACAAGTGAAAAGGTTATACAATGATCAGAATATTAATGGGATTGATGCCAGAAGGAAAAATATTAAGCTAAATAATATTGAAGTGACAGGGAGATGGACTATTGCCTTCATCCATTTAAGGCATCCAGTTTATGTGACTGAGAATAATAATCCCTTTGGACTTCTGTACTCGTCATGGAAAACAGATTCTTCTTGCAGCATAAGAACCTGCCATTTCTCGTGATTATACAAGGAAATGGGATTTATAAGATAGATGATGAGAGCAGACAGCATGCATGCTGCTGCTAAGAAATAAGTCTTAAGTAGGGTCTGTACTGGCTGCATTCAGAGTTGCACAAGGTTAAAATGTACTAATGAGCTTTAATGGCTGAAGAAACACAAATTTGTACCTATGGTGTCCCACAAGAAAAATACGTTTTATAAAAATCTATTCATGTTTGTGGAAACATGAATGTGCCTGCAGCTTTGTACTCCCAGGATGGGTCAAGAAATAAAAATTGAGTGTGAACTAATTGTTTGGAAGGCGTATTGGGCAACAGAATTGAAATTGAGATCTAAGAAAATTATTCTTGTTAGTGCAAGATACTTCATCGCATGATGAAATGCAGAAGATACGTAATAATGTCTACACACTACAGATTGTGTTCTTAGCAACTTTAATGAAGGATTAGGATTCTGTTATTCTGTGTCTACCACCACTATTATTCTTTTGAGACAGGAAAAAAAAAGTCCTCTTTGTTCCCTTCACCTGGTGTAAGTGCATGTTTGGTTTTTTTCAATCTTTATAGCAGAAAACTTCAGCTGGGACTGAGAATATAAATGGTGAACTTAAACAGAAAACTAGGCGAAGATGGGGACATCTTGCTAGAGCAGTGAAGACTTCTGAAGACTGGGATGACTTGGAAGACCTTGATTTCAGCTCTTCCATCACAAGAATAGACTTGAAAAGCAAGAAGAGGCAGAATGATGAAACTCTTTGTAGGTGAGTTGGTTTCTTTTATGTCCACTTGCTATTTGGTCTTATTTGTTAGGCTTTACCTCTTTTTTCATAATGTTGCCCTTTATTCTTCCTGTAGATCTAGAAACATACATCCAGGCTGGTAAAGGACACGCAGCTTGTTTCTCTCCTGCTTTGCCTTGGCTGCTTATTGAACACTGAACTTTGAATTAAAATACGTTTTTTGACGGACAGTGCACAGTTCTATACAATAGTTAATTTTTCCGTGCTGAAAACGATGCTTAGCTGAAGTCTTCCCTAGTTAATCTTTGAATATAAATTTTGTATTTCACATAGGAGCTATTTTGACATACTCATAGAATTACAGAATGGTTTGGGTTGGAGGGGGCTTAAAAATAATCTAAATCCCACCCTGCCATGAGCAGGGACATCTCCCACTAGGCCAGGTTGCTCAAAAATCCAGCCTGACCTTGAACACTTCCAGGGAGGGGACATTCACTGCTTCCCTGGGCAACCTGTGCCAGTGTTTCACCACCCTCATAGTGAACAGTTTCTTCCTAACGTCTAACCTAAATCTACCCCCTTCCAGTTCAAAGCCAATTTACAGCCAACAGCATATAAGCTGCTTTGAGTGACTAAGCTGCAGTTTCAATGGATCATATGCGGTGAAGAACAACTTACTGCATGATTTACAAAAACTGCAAAATCAATGTGGAAGGAAAGTAGAAGCCCAAATCTGATTTTCATGGTCAGTTTTGTTCCTTCTGGTTGAAAAATATTCCCTGTTGTCTGTGTGTTTCTGCTATAGCAAACATAGTATGAGGAAATGATTCCTGGAGACGGGATGAAGAATAGAAGGCCAACTGTGGATAGACATATGCTATAAGAATTGGACTAAGTGTAGCAATTTTTGGGTTGCAGATTTGAAAGCATTTTGGACTTGAAGCCTACAGATCCTGTAGGGTCTGGCAGCAGTGCGCCTTCCCACGCAACCTTTCCACAGCAGGACACTCCCACAGTCCGAGTTTCTGCAGCAAAGCAACACTACTTGAGACATTCTAGGTATCTGCCTGGTTAGTAAAAATACTTAATTCTTTTTTCTTCCCGTAATTCCAACAGCAGTCTAGCTGACATAAATCCTGAAAACAGCTGATTTCAGTGAATTTCAAACTGGACCTCTTCAGTAGAGTGGAGTAGCTAGAAGTTGTGTTACTAGAGGAGATTGTAAAACACAATAATCTCAAGCGTGCTTTTTCTTAACCATAAGTTGTGAGCACGTCATTGTATGTTAGGTACTCTGCTTAAACATGGCAAGTGTATTAAACACAACTAATAGATGACACATGAACTCTACTGCACAATCTGAACTGTTTGCACAATCTGTGGTATCTATAGAATCACAGAATGGTTAGAGTTGGAAGGGACCTTAAAGATCATCAAGTTCCAAGTCACCTGCATGGGCAGGGACGCCTGTATATACACCAAACGGAAGTACAGAACTATGAGAAGTCTAATCTACCATTATTTCCTCTCAGGTTGTTTTGTCACTGTTGGGCTAAAAGCTGTAAAATGCACTGTCTGATTAGAAGCGTAGGTTTCATTTACATAGCAGGGTTTGCTTTCTGTGAGTTGAGAATATTTGTGGCCTTGATGTAAGGACCCTTTTCCATTGACATAAGCAGTCATTGATGCTAGTGGAATAGTGACAGTATTAACTTTGCAGGATTAGAGCCTATGGCTAGTCATAGCATTCCTGTATGAGAAGGTGGGAAGTAATGCAGAGGCATGGTAAGAGTGAAGAGGTTTTGGTTAAGTTCACAGAACTGGACACCTGCTCTAAGACTGTGCATCAGGTGAAATGAATGCAAGGCTGCTTAACAACAGAGATTTCAGTGTGTTAATTTTTGCCTTTTTGCAATAGGAATAAGCACAAGGAATAGCACAGTCTCCACTTCAAACAAAGAGTCTGTTCCATCTAATTCCTGGCCCAGTTCTGGCTTGCCAGGGAAAGCTTCTGATTTGGGAGGAAGTATTAACAGGATGAATTCAGGTAAGAAGCTATGCTGAATGCTCTGGGAAAAGATAACAGGTGATGTCTCTGCAATTCCAAACAGCTGCATTTTGAGGTCACCTGTTTCTAATGCATTATCTGCTCTGAAGATAACTTGCTACTGTGTCTGTTCTTCCTGTCAAAACCAGTTAGGAGCACCTTCCTTGGAGATTACCTTAAACTGAAACATAGTAATTTCTTATCGTGAATCCCCAAAAGTCTGGTTTGAAGTACCACATTCATACAGGGTTGGACAGCTTAATCTGTTCAACCTGAAATATTTGATCTTACCTTCAGTTTCCCTTATCAATTTTTATAAGTCATATTTTCAGGTTTCCAAATTATTTTACCCCAGCTGGAGCATAAATGACTGTCAGAGAGGAGGAAGCTGGTCTAAATTGAAATAGCCATGCATACCACTCTTGTTATGTGAATAAAGCAAATGAAATCTGTAATTTTTCATCACTTTTTTTAATTGATGCTGTCTAAAATAGTGAAATAATTGTAGTTTCAAAACAATACAGACAACAAGCAAAACTCTCCAATTTTTCTTCTTCAGGTTTTTGGGGCATTTGGTATTTCAGGTATTTAATCCCTATTATTTGATCTCAAGTAATTAATTTGTAGATTTTTATGTTAGATTTTACCAGATATTACTTAAACATGTTGATGTTTCTAGATTGTATCTGTGTGTTTTCTCTTTCAGTTTTTCTTGGCTTCTGGTTTTCATGTGATGTTTCAGTTGTGCAATTCAGTATTTGTTTTGCATTTGCTGTTAGGAAAATGTTTGAGAAAATTTCAGTTGAATCTTGACCCAAAGAAACATTTTGGGCCTTTAGAAACTCTGGTTTTAAAAAAAATAAAAACCTTAAAATTCTGAATGTAATTTAATCAGAAAATTGTTCTTTAAAATTCAAGATGGAAGGATGTTGTAAATGGCTGGACTACATGAGAACCTTTATATACATAGCTCATGTCTCCTTCCTGGCTCTTCTATAGATTTTTGCTTCTTTCGTAGCTGCATAGGATATCATTAGATTTTTTTCCCTTTTTTACTTACTACCATTTTTCCCCACAATATGCTTTGCCACTGCTCTACTGCTCTAGTATGTTGTAGGCACATGTGATGGATCTGCTCTGTGCATGCCCACTTGTTTAGTGTCCACCTGTGCGTTGACTCTGGACTGTTTTATTTATAACTTTTTCTGTTCCAGTTTCTATGGCTTATCCTACACATCAGTCAGATCTGTTCCTGCTCATCTTAGGGACAAGTTTTGTAGCTGACTTTCCAAATTTGGAATATGAATCTGTCCTGACTTATTAAGTTGTGCTCTTACTGGCTTCAGTAAGAGCTTTGTTTATCACCAGAGCCCCAGACTCACTGCAGAGAAATCAAGAGTGAGTATACTAATAGTCCCTAATTGCTGAAAGTCAAACAAAGTAATTACAACTGAAATGATAAGTTTTTAAAGCTTTGAGAAACCTTGAAAAAGCTGAGATGTCAGGGAGAAACAAAAATTACCCTTCTGAAAGTACAATTTGTACTTGTTTTCCATTCATCTTTAATGCAGTCTGATGCTGACAGTATCCTAAATGCAGGTACACATACATAGGATCTGTGGATTTCTGGTGTCTTCAATGAAGTTCTTATTTTCATGAATCCATGACCAGGCTTGATCTTGAATATGACCCATCAGTGCCCACCTTTGTCATCTGTTGATAACATGGGAAATCTGTTGTGTTGAGCTTGAGTGTTTCTTGCCATTTTTTTCAGGGCCCATAGGTGGTCTAACTAGTGGTTGTATCCCTTCATTTCTGAAGAAAGAAGTAGGCTCTGCTGGGCAGAGGGTTCAGTTAGCACCAGTTGTGGATCCGTCTTCTAGTAAGTATAGTACCAAAGTTGTCTTGGTCCCTTGCTCATTACTCTGGTAATGCTGTTTATATGCAGCGCTGACCTACATATCTTTGCTTTACTTTATATATGAGTATTTGACTGACTGGAACTACAGTTTGTAACCTTGCAGAGCTTCATATGGAGAAGGTTTTGGTTTATTTACTTGATGTGGTTTTATCCACAAAATTACTTAAGTGGGACTTAGAGGTGGGTGTGAGAGCTGTCAAATCGGTGATATAAATCCTTCTTGTCTGGTAAGATTTTAGGGATTGGATCCACTATTGTTTCACATCAGCAGGTTCTATTAAAAAAGGAGGCTTATTTCCTGAAGAAACGAGGATATGGATCTGCATCCAGTTGCTGTTCAGTGTAGACAGCTACTCACTGAACCTTTATCTTATGCCATTTTCTGTTGTTCCTTAGATTATGCTTCTCTGAAGACAGTGAGACCCCATCTAGGACAGCCATCCTTCAGTTCACCCACGAAGAGCACACCAAGGTTAATGCCCCTCCTGCCACCAGCTCAGCCCATTCACGGGCGCGTTGACTGGGCTGCAAAGTACGGTGCTCACCGGTGACGTGTGCACGTGCCATCTGAACCATGTTTCCCATGAAATGGTGGCTCACACCAGACAATTTGATACTGTTTTATATACCTGTAAATTTTAAAGAAACAGATCTTCTATGAGCGGGACATTTTGAAGGTTCTTTTTTTTTTTTACTTTCATTTGTATTAATTTGGATGCAATCTTGTACCTTTTTGTATAAAAGAGTTTAGTTATATAATTGGGTCCAGTTATTTTCATAAATCTGGTACATTTTGTATATATGGCTTAGGGGGTTTGGCATTTTTGTATGATAAATTTTTATAACAAACTTTTTTAAAATGTAACTTTTCCATATTAGATTCAACGTTTTTTATAAATGTGAGTAAAAAAAGCAAAGTGGTGCAATATTGCAGTGGAAGAGGAGTACTGAGTAAAGGGCATTCATTAGACATTTTCTGAAGTTTATGTGCTAAATGAGGCTGTATAATTTCAGTGGTGCCACATCTTGATGCCACCCTTCTGTTGTCCTATACTCACTTTCTTTGTACTGACATCAAAGGAATGGGTGACTTCACAGTCTAAACTCCCCTTTCCAGTCACCGAGAGGCTGCTGAAAGTCAGCTTTTTTTAAAATTTATTTTTGCCTTTGAAAGGTTTATGTTGGATTGCTCTCCAGCTTTCCAGCTCCATTCTTTTGCCTTTATCAAATGTGGGGAATCTCCTTGTTTGGTGAAGGGCGAATACCCTTCTGTAGATCTGTTTTCTCTTTTGTCCTACTTCAAAGTTGCTTCTTGGCATTGTTCACTATGAAATAGAATGTGGACCTACCTCTTTTCAATTCAGTCAAATGATTTCTAAGGAGAAAAATTGGATCCTGTTTCTTCTTATTTTGCTATTGAGAGTATAAAATCATAGAATCAGAGAATCATCGTGGTTGGAAAGGACGTCTAAGATCACCTCCCCTATTGACCAGGATTGTTGATAAATGATGGAGAGAGGATTAGTGAGCTCCCCTGCCTCAAAGGGCATAAATGCTTTTGCATCACAAGATGTCTTCCTCCTCCTGAACCAGCCCAGGTACAGGAGTCAGGACCTGGAAGTCTTTGTGACTTTCTTTGAAATATACAATGGAAAGACGTTTGAACTCTTGAATAAGAAGGCAAAGCTTTGAGTCCTTGAGGATGGCAAGCAAGCAGGTCCAGGTCGTTGGTCTCCAAGAGAGACAAGTTGGCTGTGCTGAGGTTGTCATCAGAATCATTGAGATTGGCAGTGCCTGCAGGACGTCTGGGCAGACATTTACTAGTGATAGCTCTTCATGTGCCCACACCTGCTTCCAAATCGTGCTATGTCCAAAAGGGAGACTGAACAGATCAGGCAAATCGTATGAGACTTAAATCCAGTCTAAAGGGATCAGAGCAGGTATGGTTCTCAGCATCCAGCCATTTCGAAGGAGCTGAATGGCTGGTGTGTCAGTGAGATCCATTCTCTGGGATCTTCTGGCACCTACAAAGGGCAGCCACTGTGGCCTGGAAACTGATAACACACACTGGCCTTGTCAGTACTTCCCATGGAGAACATGTGGGACTTAGAGGAAACTGTACCATAGAGTAGGCTGCTGGATCAGCACTACAGGGGAAGCCATAACGAGTTTTAGAGTCTCCTTCTCTGGAGACTTTCAAGATCTGTCTGAATGTATTTCTGTGTGACCTGCCCTAGATGATCCTGCTCTGGTAGTGGGGTGGACTTGATGATTTCCAGAGGCCCCCTCCAACCACTAACATTCTGAGATTCTATGATTCTGTTTGCTTTTATGGACACAATCCAATGTGAGACAGTACCAGACAAAAAGGGAGCAAAAGGATCAATGCATTAAAAAAAATTATGCATGTAAGACTTATATTTGCCAAGGACATGTTATGTGTCCAGCTACTCTGTTATTTGTTAGTAGCAAATACTAACTCCAAACCATACCTAACAGCTTCCAAAGCAGTGATGCCAATGCATAGCAACAAAATAAATCAGCCATTCAGTTTCTAAAGCACACACTGATGGTGTCTTTGAGTAAAGTGGAAAGGGAAATGTGTATATTTGAGTTAGAACTGGAAAGATGTTTCTCTTGGTGGCAATAAATATCTGTATTTATGGCTCTGTATAATTTAATTTATTTTATCACTGAATAATTGGTCTCTAGAGGGAACACCCTGAATGTATCCTAAGTATTATAGACCTAAGTAGGCAATTTAACTAGACTATTCCATATACTTAATTCCTACTGGTGGAAGCAGGAGATAAGTCGTGAGAATGGGCTGCTGAGGTGTGGATTCATCCTACCTGACCAAAGGCACCTAAATGTAAGCTCCTTGTTGTGAACTGACTTTAAAACACTAGTGAGTGAGAATCCTTTTAAGAGAAATTCAGCTCAGCTGAGAGCTTGGAAGCCCTCTGGAGACACCTGCATCTCTCCAGTAAGGATGGGTACTAGTCCATGTATTTAAAGTAATACAGGATTATTCTGAACCTGGCCTTTAATCTCTCAGCCTTTATCAGTCTTGAAGTGATTTTCTTGACTATAGCATTCAGGTTTTGGTCAGTCCAGCCAAAACATTGGAAAAAAAGAAGTAGTACTTTTTTGGTCATATCTCCTCCTTTCCCAAGTTAAAACCTTTATTTTGGAAGAAAAGCTAATAATCTTGATATTCAGAATCACTTCTGCTAGTTTTCACTTAGTGGGACAGAAATTAGCTAAGTATAATGGCAGCATTTGTAGCCTTTACTCAAGCAAATTCCTG